GTTGGGGGTGCTGTTGCTGGTCATCCAGGGGAGGTCAGCTGTGTGTGCTTCTGCAGGTCATGGGAGGGGAAAAAAGTTGCTGCTGCTGGTTGTCCCGGCATATGCGGTGGGAGAGCTGGTCTCCCCCAGCTCACTGATGTCACTGGTTGCCATCGACAGCATCCCGCTCAGCTCCCTGGCAACCCATGATGTCAGTGAGCGGGGCAGGAAGCCAGACAATGCCACAGGTCGCTGAGGGCTCTTAACAACCTGAGATGCTGTGGCCACCCCTCTACCACCCCCAATGCATGGACGTGCGGTCAGGGGAGGCAGGTGAGACAGAGCCTCACCTAGTATTATGGAGGAAAAAGCTTCAAGCTTTTTCTCCATTTGGATCGGCTTCTATCAGGTTACACAGCAGGGGAAGCCTCCTCGCTGTGTAGGGGCGTATGAGGGGCGCGGCGTGCTGGGGGCGAGGCTGGGGAATGCCTCACCCTGAACCAGAGGTACCGCACGTCACTGCCCCATTAAGATGCGACCTGAGGTGACGGCCTCAGGCTGCTTCATTACAGGGACAACCCTGGTGATGAGCAAGTGCTTGGTCTGAGTTTGTCCAAGCCCGTTCAAAACTGTGATCATTGCCCCCCGTTTCCTCCTGCGGACCTCCACCTTAGTGATGAGCCTGAGCTCGGTCTGAGTTCACCAAAGCCCATTTAAAACCCTTACAAGAACTGTAGTATAACCGCAGCACATTAAAGTACAACTGCAGTAAAATGAAGAACAATATAATAGTATAAAAACAGTACAACTGCAGCCTATTAAAGTTTAGCAGCAGTAAACTGCAGTACAAAAAAGTACATCTGCAGTAAATTGAAGTGCATCTGTCGGTGTGCAATCTAATGAAGTATAGATACAGTATAGCTGCAGTTGGTGATACACTACTGCACCCGTACTGCTAGGGTTGCCACCTTTTCTTCAAGTGAAACCCAAACACTCTAGCGCCACACTTGGCAAAAAATTTTTGGGGGGAGAATATAAAGGAGAGAGTAATGTTTTCAGGTGGCCTGGTAGTTTGTGCGGGCTGTGCGACTCTCGGACCCTTCAGCTGCAGGGGGATCTACATAGCCCGGCCGCTCTTCTATCTCTGGCAATCTATCACATAGAGGAACGTCTCCTCCTTCTTCTCTATGTGATAGATCACCAGAGTTAGAAGAGAGGAGGAGCAATCACATGTGCGGCTGCCGAGGTCCTTGTCAAGTGTGATCTCGGGCAGCCACATCTGCCTGAAACCCGAATCTTTCTCTGAGCTGCGGGCACAGGCTGCCCCCAGATCAGAGGAAGACCCGGGTTTCAGGCCGATTCGGCTGCTCGAGATCGCACTTGACAAGGACCTCAGCAGCCGCACCTGTCAAAAACCGGTGTCGGCACTGAGTGTCTTGTGTCTGGGTGTCCGCTGGCTGGACACCCGGACACAACACACCAAAACTGGACTCTCCGGGTAAAAAAAACGGACAGGTGGCAACCCTACGTACTGCATTGTACTGCAGTTATGCTGTATTGTGCAACATGTAGCCAGTGCTGTGGTTACAGTACTACTTTATAGCAAGTAAAAGCTATGGACCTCTGCTATGCAACTTCCACAGGGTTATTCACAAAAGGGTGAAGAGTTTGGAGAAGGCAGGAGAAGTGAACAATCTAGGACAACATAGCTGAACTGGAAAGTGAGCTGAATTGGAGAATTTTTCCAAATCAGCTATGCTGTCCTAGATTGTTCACTTCTCCTGCCTTCTCCAAACTCTTCACCCTTTTTTGAATAGCCCTGGAAATACTTCACATGTGCTGCAGCTGTATTGAAATTGTATTTTACTAGTATTTTAGATGTATTGCATATTACTTCTAAAAATCTGCAGTCATGTTTGTAAGGGAACTGTGACCATCACCCCCTCCTGGCCCGATCAGTTGTGGCGGGGGGAGGGGTTCATCACTACTCCCCATCACTATACTAAACTTTTCAGTTTTTTTAACCACTGCTGTATGGCCTTCTCAGTAGTGCACATTCGCTTTCCCTAGCTTGAACCTTGCATGCATCCCACACGCTCCATTCAATGCTATGGACTCAGGAGTACAAACATTGCATGTGACTGAGTACTACAAAGCTGGTAAAAGACCCAGCGGAGAAGATAATGACAAACAGCTGTGTGACACAGAGGTCACTCAACTGACATCTCACTGAATCAAGGATGGGTAAGTATTAGGGTTAGTTAACACCATATGCAGTGCGTTCCAGTCTGATTCTGGCCGGAACGCACTGCATCGCATTCCGCCCGGCTCACTTTTTTGTGGGGCAATGCGATCGCTCCGCACGGGATCGCAATGCTGCAAGCACTATTTTGATTGCACCGGACCACAGGCACAATGTGCTGGTGATTGCATTGCGGCCGGAGGGCGTGGCTACGGTGCCATTCACTTCAATGGCCCGTCACGCCCCCTCATGGACCACAAAAAAGTGAGTATATTCTCAAATATATTGCCACTATAGAGGAAATATTACACCAACTAAACTAAATAACACATCAGAAAGAAGGAAGGATCAGGATGACTGCCTTGGAGCAGACACCGTACAAAACAAGTCCTCAATGGTACTTTTCAAATTTATGTTCTAAAAAAGTTTATTTTGAAACATGGTGCTTTTGAAATAGAGGTTGCAGGTGTGGGGGACACTGAAGAAGGACAGAGACTTAGCAACTGACTGTGAGGTCACAGAAGAAGGACAGAAACAGAGGAGCTGAGTGTGGGGATACTGAAGAAGGGCAGAAACACAAAAGCTGAGTGTGGGGACACTAAGGAAGGACAGAAACACAAGAGCTGAATGTGGGGACACTGAAGAAGGGCACAGACACAAGAGCTGAGTGTGAGGACACTAACGAAAGGCAGAAACAACAGAGCTGAGTGTGGGGACACTAAAGAAAGGCAGAAGCACAAGAGCTGAGTGTGGGGACAGTGGAGAAGGGCAGAAACACAAGAGCAGAGTGTGGGGACACTAAAGAAAGGCAGAAGCACAAGAGCTGAGTGTGGGGACACTGTCAAAGGGCAGAAACACAAGAGCTGAGTGTGGGGATACTGAAGAAGGGCAGAGACACAGGAGCTGAGTGCAGGGATACTGAAGAAGGGCAGAGACACAAGAGCTGAGTGTGGGGATACTGAAGAAGGGCAGAGACACACTAGCTGAATGTGGGGACACTGAAGAAGGGCAGAGACACAAGAGCTGTTAGGGCAGTGAAGGACAGAGACACAAAAGCTGATGAGTGAAGACAGCGTAGAGGGGCAGGGACTACCAAGCTGAGTAAGAACAGTGGAGGAGGGAAAAGACACAGGACCTGGGTGTAGGGACAGTGAAGAAGAACAGAAACATAATGTCTGAGTGTAAAGACAGCGAAGAAGGGCAAAGATACAGAAGACTATAGTGGGTACAGTGAAGAAAGGCAAAGACAGGAGCACTGAATGTAAGGACAGTGCATGATGGCACTAAACGAGGACAGAAACACAGGAGCTGAATGTGGGGACACTAAAAGAAGGGCAGAAAGAAGCAGCTAATAGTGGAGGCAGTGGACATAAAAAGTAAGTATGAGGACATTGGAGGAGGTCTAAGACACGAGTTGTTTGAGGATAGTGAGGACAAAACTGCATTTCTAGTTCATGGATTTCTCCCTTAATGTCACAAAGCTTATTTGCCATTGTGGTATTTACTTTAGTGAACTTTTTAGTGAGTGCGAATTTGCCCCAGGCAGCCAGGCTGTTTATTCAGAATGAATAGATTGTGGCCTCTGCTGCTCGTAAGGCACATTTGGATTGACAAAGAATTCAGAAAATGCAGCCCAATTACAATTCGGTAATTGAGACTGGCTACAAGGCATGGTGGCTATCAGTCATATACTCCCATACAGAAGAAAAAAAACAGTGGGATTAATATTTGCCATATTTGTGTCTCTTAAAGGTCAACTCCACATATCATGAAATTTTAGTCAAGCATAATT